AGAGAGAGAGAGAGAAAGCTCAGTCCCAAAATCCAAAGAACCCCAAAAAAAAAAAAATGGAGTGAAAGAACTCTGACCCAAAAATGAAAGAACCCAGAAAAAGAGAGGGAGCTCAAGAATTCAGGGGAGGGGGAGGCAGGAAACTCTGAAGAAAATGGAGAAAACTTACATAGAGAAGAGAAGAAGGATTGGAGCTCGAGAGACATTTGACCCCACTTCCTATCTACCCCTCAAAACACCACCCTTTAGTTTCTCTATCCTCTCTCTCTTCATGGATCGTGTTTGTATAGGCGTTGTTCCCCTGTTTCGTAGGGGAATATTCTGAGCAATCATCGGTTTTATTCCAGAAGATCTAGTAGGAGAAATCAACACAAAAAAACACAATTTTTAGAGAAAAAGCTTTGAATTTCTGTTAAGGTTCGCGTGGCGTTATGGGTTCTTTCTCTCACTGGAAAGACGCAATCAAAAAACTAATATGGCTTCTTTCTCTCTCTCTAGAAAGCAAAGGGGACAGCTGTGCTGCTAAGTGCCTGTTTTTGATAAGTCAGTGCGTCTGATATTTTGGACTTTCTCTCTCTAGAAAGCTCCTTTGGACTTTCTCTCTCTAAGAAGCCTCCTGATTCGGATTTTCTCTCTCTGGAAAGCTACTTGGATTTTCTCCCTACAAAAAGCCAGCTCACACACGAGACCTACTTACTCTATCCAACTGAAAGTCAGATACCCAAGTTTGTCATTTTTTATATTCTTGATGGCAATTCGTCTTGTAAGAATTTATCTCATCGCTTGCACACAGAAAAATAGAAAATTGTTTTACGCGGGTTGGACTGCATGACTACATATGCGGTCCAAAAAAGTGTAAAGCATCCATCTTTAAGATGGATGCAAGTAGGTGTTCCATCTAAAAGGAAATCAACCGTCCAAAATATTTTCTTACTAGAATTATTATTTTTCGTTTTTTAAATTTACTTCTATTTTCATATTCATGATCTCCAGTTAGAGATTATATATCCTTAAAAATTAAGTAAAAAAATCCATCTAACAAATAGATTTTATTAATAGGCCCGTATTTCTACATATGCGGGCTTGGCCGTCTAAAAACCGGGTCCCAAAAAAATTTATATAAGAAAATTATTTCATACGGGTAATACCGCATTTTTATGTATGCGCCGCATTTCTACGTATGCAGTCCAGAAAGTGTAAAGCATCAATCTTAAAGATGGATGCAAATAAATGTTCCATCTAAAACAATGGAAACTGACGATCCAAATATTTTTTTACTAGAATTATTATTTTTAATTTTTAAAATTTATTTATTTTTTCATAGTTATGATCTCTATGTTAGATATTACATGTCCTTAAAATTAAGTCTTAAAATCTATCTCAAAAATAGATTTATTAAGAGGCTCGCGTTTCTACATATGCGGCCTTGGCCACATAGAAACCAAGTCCATTTATATAAGGTTGAAATTTTATATGAAAAATTATATGACACCATTTACTTTTGGAACAAGGTGGTCACAATTAATCTTGACCATTAGATGGAAAATTGGGTGGCTGTATTTATTCCATTGATCAAACACAAAGTTCAAAAGAAATTTTCTCGAACTTGATGATATACCCAAGCTATTAGATTGTATATGGGATGGTTGTAAGTAACAGTGACCTCCTTGTACCAAAAATAAAAATAGTCTCATCATATATATCCCCCTTTTTTTCAAGTTTTATAGATATGTTCGACAAGTACCTTTATTTGATTTTAAATTTCATAATTAGGATTTATTTTATTTAGACAGAGTTTATTTTCAAAAGTTCCAAGTGTTTATAGACGACAAGTACCTTTATTTTATTTTAAATTTCATAATTGGGGTTGAACATAGATTTCAAGCCATCATAAGGTATCTAGCACTAGAACTACACCTTCCAATAAAATTTAAAGGTGCGCCACTTATATAGTGGGGTTGGATTATGTCTATAAGTTGGATTATGTGTCAACGATTGGGTAACACTAATATGTTTGAAAAAAGGTTTAGAAACACATGGAACATGACTAATTAAATGTCTATATTTTTTAAATACATTTCAATTTGAGAATGTTGTATTTTTATGGGAAAATAGATCATGAGACCATTTATCTTTTAGTACAAGGTGATTATAATTAATGTTGACTATTGGATGTGAACTTGGTTGGCCGCATTTATTATATTGACTAAGCTTAAAGTTTAAAAGAATTTTTCTCATACTTTTACACACCCAATTACTTCCTAACCATAAAAACATGGAGTGTCCATAGTTTGGATTATGTGTTGAGAATTGGGTAACACTAATATGTGTGTCAACAAATCTAGAAAGACATGGAACATGACTAATGAAGAGTCTATTTGTTGAAATACATTTCAATTTGAGAATGTTGATTTTTATTGGGAAATATACAATGCAAATATTTACCTTTGATACAAGGTGGTAACAATTAATTTTAACCATTGGATGTAAAATTGGTTGGCCGCATTTACTCTACTATCCATGCTCAAAGTTCAAAAGAAAATTTTTTGAACTTTGTGACACATCTAAGCTATCAGATTTCACATCGGATAGTTACAAGTAGTTATGACCTCCTTTTACCATAAGCAAATGGTCTCATTGTATATAATCTTTATTTTTATTTAAAAATACCAATCCCTACCAATAATTTTTTACTAATTATATATAGTAAGATTATTTATCTTTAATACAAGGAGGTCACATTCATTTATAACCATCTGATGTCCATGTGATTATTCCATTTAACAAATGCACAGGATATTGTATACATATAATCATAGAAATAGCCTATTGTCTTGACCACTAGTTGCACGGGCAGCAAGCTTCTTGATCACATAACGCCTAACAAATGTCCCTAATGATTTGTAAGGGATTGGGATAGTCTTAATCAGGGTATGAAAACTCGACGAGTCGAATCGGACTTGCCCGATTCGACTCAGGAATTGGCAGTCCCCGTGCCAGTTCCACCACAATACCAGGGATCGTCCGTGTCTGGAGAGAACCGGGCGATTCCCAATAGTGAATCGCCGAGTCACTGTTGAGACTCATCAAGAACACGGGCTGCACAATGTTCTTTACGATGTTGATGGTTTTTTGTCATTTTCTTATCATTTTCCATCTTTGTCAGCTTTATAATCGAATCTTGCAAGGTTTATTTTAAATTTTTTAGCCATTTCAGTCAATAAAAGGTAGTAAAAATCACCGATTTTGATAAAAAAAAGTTGGATTTGTGAAGAACCCTAAAAACGTTTTAGGGTTTCGCCATTTCTTTGATTTTAAGTAAAAGAGGGCATCATTTTTTGTAAAATCTAAGGGTTAATGATTGTAAGAGTATTGTTCAGAAGGTTTTGTTCATAATTTGTGAGTATTTTGGACGAATTCATATCAAATTTGAATTTGAAGCCATGAGTGAACAAAAAACAGGTATGAACTGCGTTTTTTTTTTTTTCCGCCATTCTATCAAATTCACTCGATATTTTACAAATAATATGTTAAATTTATAGGATTTTGATTCGTTATAGTGTTGTTTATCATCACTTATATTCAATTTGATTATATTTATTCAATTTGAATTTGATTTTTGAGAAAAAAAACACTGATGTCTGTAAAGAAATATGGACTGCGTTTTTTTTTTCCCCGCCATTCTATCAATTTCACTCATAAATAATATGTTAAATTTATAGGCTTTTGATTCGTTATAGTATTGTCTATCATCACATGTATTCAACTTGATTATATTTATTCAATTTGAGTTGGATTTTTGAGAAAAAAAGACTGATGTCTGTGAAAAAAAAAAATGGATTGAGTTTTTTTTTTCCTGTCATTCTATCAATTTCACTAAATATTTTGTAAATAATGTGTTAAATTTATAGGGTTTTGATTTGTTATAGTGTTGTTTATCTTCACATGTATTCAATTTGATCTGATTTATTCAATTTGAGCTTGATTTTTGAGATTGAATGACTAATGTCTGTGAAGAACTGCGTTTTTTTTTTTTCCTCAATTCAATCGATTTTATTTAATATTTTGATAATAATGTGTTAATATTATAGGGCTTTGATTCCTTATACTGTTGTTTATCAAAACATGTATTCAATTTGATGTAATTTATTCGATTTGAGTCGGATTTTTGAGTTGGAATGACTGATGTTAGGTGGGTCTTTGAAGAACTGTGTTTTTTTTTTTTTAATTCATGATCAATTTTTTTGAAAAATGTGATTTTCCAAAAAATGGTGACCAGTTTTTTATTATCATGAGGAATTAAACAATATTTTTAATTTTTATTGTTGAATTTTTAGTTCAAAATTTGCATGTTGATAGATTATTTATGCAAAAATATACATGTTATTATATTTTTAATGCAAAACTGTATTTTCTAATTTGTAGTTAATGCAAAAAAATACATTAACAAATACATGATGTTAAATATTATATTTTTAATATGGTTTTGCATTAAAAATATATTTTAAATTTTTAAAATTTTTAATGCAATAAATACATGTTAAATTGTATCATCATGAGGAATTAAAGTGAATATCATTGTAAAAAAATCGTGGCATGTAAGATAATTATATTATCTTGTATTTTTCAATTTTATTATTAAATTTTTAATCCAAAAAATGTATGTTCTTGATAATTGAGTTGTAGCCATTTTTGGAGCTTGTATTTTTTATTATATTATCTTGCATATTTGTAATTGAGATGTACGACTATTTGTGATCATTTCAATCGAGTTGGGATTGTGCCCACTATATCATTGTAAATTTTATTTGTGGCATTGTGAATGACTATATCATTGTAAATGTTTTTTGTGTCAAATATATGTGTAGTGGCATTATGGATGACTATATTAATGTAATTTTTTTCTTGATTCTAGGTGTGACTTATACATACATAATGTTGCATAAATATTTTTTTTTCTTAGTAGGAACTAATTCATGTTTGT